GCTGTAACCCGATTTAATTTGGCGTTCTATACGATTTAACTTAAACATAATGCGATGTATGTCAGTTACCAAAGCTACATCATGTCAAAGTTGACCATTTTGTATGAAAATAAGCATGCGCTGCTATTTTATCGTAAGACTTTCCAAATTGAATTTGCAGGGCAGATTTCGCGATTTTCGCGGATTTGAACTTCCAAACAAAAATTGTAGAATTCATTGTAACCTTTCCGTCCCGGATTATTTTGCTGTCATCAATTTTGTTATTCATTTGCCACTCAATTTTTTACCGGCTCAAACCAAACACCCTGCAAATAATCGAGAAATGATCTCAATTCCATAAGTCACACCGGATTTTCACGGAAATTCCCTGAGGTCTGTCCAATGTGAGACATTTTCCAATATGAACATAGCATTTTTCGTTGTCAAATCATAAACGAATGGTATTATGCGAGTCATTGCCATGTATACTGGATATTCTAGGTTCTCCAAATCGTCCTGGAGTTCAGTTGATTTGTTATACTATATCAATCAAGACTGCAAAATGTCTGTAGTATCGAAATATGTCCAAACAGATTCAAAGTGTCAATGTGGATTATACCCGACCTATTGCTACGTATACAAGATGTTAACGGTTCTGAAATCATTCTGGAGATCAGATTATTTTTTTACTAGATTACCCAAGACTAATTCAAAATCTGTAGTATAGAAATATGCCCAAACAAATTTGCAGTGTCTATGTGGATCATGCCAACCTATTTTCGTGTATGTCAAATGTTCTAGGATTTCCAAATCGATATTTCGATACTACAGATATTATCTTAGTCTAGTAAAACAAATCATCTGAACTGCAGGACAATTTGGAGAACCTAGATCATCTGGTATACGTGGAAATAATTAAACATTATCCATATAGACCCTATAAATATGTTTAGACATATTTAGATACTACAGACTTTATCTCAGTCATGGTTGATTTAGTAAAATAAATCATCTGAACTCCAGAACGATTTGGGGAACTTAAAACATCTGGTATGCATGACAATAGTTCATGCATGATTCACATAGACACTGTGCATCTGTCTGGAAATAGTTCGATACATTGTCCCAATATCGGTTGATCTAGTAGGTTAAATTATCTGAACTCCAGGACGATTTAAAGAACCTTGAACATCTGGATTACTCGGAAATAGATCATGCATGATCCACATAGACACATTGAATCTGATTGGACATTTTTCGATACTGCAGACATTATTGCAGTCTTGGTTGATCTAGTAGAACAAATCAACTGATGTCCTGGACGATTCGGAAAACCTATAATTTCCAGTATACATAGTAATAAGTTATGATTTGACAAAAAAAGAGCTAGGTTCATATTAGAAATAGAAAATATCATGAAATTGTCTCACCATTGGACAGACTCCAACGAACAACCGCGACGTGACCAACAAGTGTGACTTATGAAACTCTGGTAATTTCTCGATTATTTGCAGGGTGTTTGGTTTGAATCGGTAAAAAAAGAGAAAACTAGAACCAAATTAACTACAATATTTAGGACAGTAAAATACGTCAAATTTCAAGAAAATTTGCATTTCAAATGAAAATGCATTTATTTATTTTTTAAATAATGTTTCATCAAATCTAGGCCGGTATTATTCAATAGATTCTCATAATGTAAGGGTGTTTTATTATGATCACTAATTACTCAGAATCTATGCTATACATAAATAATTGAAGATGATACAATGTAATTTCTTTAACTCAGTCGGATAAGCCGCAGCTACAAAGCAAGTCCATGCTGGAGACGACTGAGTTCGATTCCCGTCCGGTCTATTAATTTTTCGGGTAGGAAAATTTCTCTACTTCCTTGGGCATAGGATGGTACAGGCATAGAAAGCACTCATTAAAAATGTGAAAGTACTTCAAAGAACACTAAGTTGAGAGCTGGCAAAAATCTAATATGCTATAAGCAATAAGCTTGAAATGCCATGTAGTAGTATACAAATGCTATTTTTAGGCAATGTAAACATTTTTTGTTCGCGGATTAGTATTTGAAGTCGCGGATTTCTTTTGAGAAATCGCGGATTTCGCGGATCAAATTTAGAAAATCTTGTAACAGCCCTAAATTTGTTATTATAGATCAAATCATTTATGACATTTTTTGGCATTCTTCACGATTCTAGCAGAAAGTTCAAATATTTCACCAAAAGTTCTTGTTCAACGATTTTTGTCAATTATCAAGTGTCCGTGGTTTTCAATATTCAAAAAGTTTGCATTTTTTTTATGAGCTTTAAAAAAAAATTGAAGATACATTTTGTGAAATATTTGAGTTTTTGAGACTTTTTTGAAATTTTTACTCAAAATTACAAAAAAATATATTATGTCTATTTTTTCCAAATAAACAATTTGTCTCTAAAACTTTGTCTCAAATATTACTTAGATTAGAAGTGACGTTTTGGTGCTACAATTATTAAAAATTACAATGACGTCATTTTGAATTTTTTTTACAATATTCAAAATGGTTGATTTTTTGCAAAATGTGAATGATTGCCCATAACAAACAATGCAAAGTTTCATGCAAACCGGAGAAGGTCGAGTTTTTCCGATTCGTCATTTGGCGTGGAACTGCTCAATAAAAGAATATTAAATAATCCGGCACCACTTAAAATTTTGGTATTGTAAAATTTTGTTCCCTAGAAAACGTTCATACCTATAGCCGAAACATCGCACTAATTAAACAAAGGACTGAAAAATCTGCACAACAAATCTTGTATGATAGGTTACAATTTTCAGAGAATTCGTTTATAATTTTGAAAATATGAATCCTCCTCAAAACAAAATCACGAAACCAAGAGGCTTAAAGCTCATTTAATGTCCCAAACGCCTTACTTAATCTGCGAATTATTTCATCAAATTTTATACGAATTGGTTTGATAGTTTTGGAGTTCCGAAACTCTTAAAAGTGCTAACGTATTTTTGTCGGATGGCCTTGCTTGTACTGTAGTAACTTGGAAGTCAGCACGCTTTCCATAACCGACCTGTTCTTCAACATAGGCTCCATAAAAGGAAGTAGCGGTACTTAAAACCTTCGACATAACCCACCGGAACAAAATCAAAGGAGGAACACGCGAAGGGGACATTGTAGACATCGTCTTCCATTGGGGTAGACCCGGCATGGCGAAGTTGGCATTCATTATACGATACTACAAACACCACTACATCCGAAATTCTTACTATAAATGGTATCAATGTATACGAGAGCAAGAGAGCAAACGCAAATGAGCAAGGTGGAAAAAAAAATTCCCGGGCCGGCATTCAATGTTCTCTCCGACTTCCGCCTTCCTGTACACCAAGTCACCACACTTTTCCCTTTTATGTTGTGCAGAAAAGCAACCACACCCCTGTGCCGAGTGGGAGAGCCACCGACGATGGCCAACTTGCAGAAACGCAGACTCCCAGCATCGCCGTCATCATCGCCATCATTGCCATCATTCTCGACATCTTCGTCGTCGTCGTCGGTTTGTCGGCGTTTGGGGTAGGGTGAGTTCTTTCATCTCACACCCGAATTGGACTCCCCGCTCTTGGTTTGCTATTTTCACAGCCAACCCCCACCCCATGGCGCACGGAGCATGTCCCAAAATGTAGGGCATCCGAGCACAAACATGTCTGCCTCTATCGATCGCAATTTTTTTTTTTGTTTTTTGCAATCGCACAACCCATGGAGATTGTCCATCAGTTTTGGTACGGTTCAATGATAATTTACCAATACCACTACCTCGTGCTGATGACTATTTCTCCTAGAGTGGAGAAAGGATAATTGTCACCCCCTGAAGTGATGAGCGGAAAACGGAAATGGCTTCTTCAAATGTGACCGTTGACGTAGATAGCATTTTTTGTATGCAAAAAGTGTATTCGCTCCTCTTAAACGTGTACCAACTAAGCTGTTTTTCAGACACGTTTGATTATTTTCGAAGGAAATATGAACTCTATCATTTGTTTTCTTGATTGTTGACTAGGTACACATTAAGTTTTGACTGTCGAATGTCGGTACCGCCGAGCAGCTCTGCAATAAATTTTACTACAATACCTATCTATCTATCGTAGATTTTCAGGAAAATGTCTACATCCATTAGATTTTATTGATCTTTTATTGATGTTATGCACGCTAAGATCAGATAACCCAAATATAGGTTTACTTTACCCAAATCAGGCGTAAACTGCACGAACTCAGATATAGGTAAATTTTTTAACCCAAATATGGGTAAATTTAAATCAAATTTGCATAAAAATAAATCATTTATGGTTCACAAGAACCCATATTTGGGTTAAAAAAATTTACCCATATGTGAGTTTGTGCAATTTACGGCCAATCTCGGTAATCTCTTTGTACCGTCTAGGTAAACTGATCTTAGCGTGTGTATCGTAAATTTTATTGAAAATATCAAATTCAAAATTAATTATTTCAAACGCAGTGGCCTGAGGTTTCAAAACATTAGTAAATTTCGACACAATTTAGTCAGATATTTTCAAGAAAGTTATAGATACGGGTTTTTTTTTTATATGAGGATTACATATTGCATACTCATCAAATCCATCAATCCAATTAGATTAGCTTCTTAGACCGTTTAGAATAATCGAAAAATAGTCACATATCAAGGTATAAAACATCGATGTTTTTTGTTCGAGAGTCGACTGTATAACTGCCGTAAATCGAAAAAATAATATAGCGTCCTGAAATTTGACAAATTTGCCTAATCAAATTAAAATAGCTTAATTTGTTGTCAAGCACGGATGTTTTCAAGTTCTAGAGACGTTAGGACTTTGGAGCAAAACTCAAAATGCAATCCAGTTTTTTACCTACTGAAATACAAAACTGGTTTGAATTCACCTTGAATCTCAGCTTCTGGCGAATACCTATTCATTGGCATTCTTTTACCGCTATATAACCGTAGCTCGCGTACTAATAATGACATTTCCCACATTTCTAATTTTCCGCCCAGAATGTCGATCATAAACTGAAGCTGCGCTCCAAGAAGGGACAGCTACCATTCGTCGAGGTAAATGGAGAGGAAATCGCCGACTCGGCCATCATCATCAAGGAACTGGCCCAGCGCTACGAGAAGGATCTGGATGCCGCCTTGACCCAGGAACAGCGCAACATTGCTCACGCCATGATTTCCATGCTGGAGAACCATCTGATCTGGGTGCTGCTGTTCTGGCGCAGCAAAAACCCCGACCTGATGATCAAGGGCTACAAGGTGAACCTTCAGCACGCCCTGGGAAGCCGTCTGCCCAACGCAGTGCTCAACTTCCTGTTCAAATTCCAATTCGGTCGCAAGGTAAATGAGTTTGATCTTGTCGAGGCATTCCACCACCATGTCGAGAATTTCGTATCATTCCCCTTCCCCTGTTCTAATGGTAACACCTTGCATGCCATCCTGACCTTCCCTTCCTGCCTCTTAATGCATGACATATTTCCGTAGTGTGCACCCATTTTTAACCTTCCACCATCAATTTCTAACAAAACAAGTATTTACAGGGAGCCAAAAAGGTGAAGGCCCAAGGTCTCGGTGTGCACAAGCCCGAGGAAATTGAAGAATTCGGCAAGCAGGATCTGAAGGTGCTTTCCGAACTGTTAGCCGACAAGCCGTTCTTCTTTGGCGATGAACCAACCACGGTAAGAGCGCAAACCCATTCTCAATCAATAAACCCAATCTCTAATCCCTTCGTTTTGGTTTGAATTGTAGCTCGACTGCGTCGCATTCTCCGTCCTGGCTCAAGTTCACTACATTTCCGACGAGGTGAAGTACGCGCTGAAGGAATTCATGCAGGAGAACTGCCCTAACCTGGTCGGACACGTTTCGCGGATCAAGGAGCGCTGCTTCCCCGACTGGGACGATATCTGCACGAAGCTGGATCTGAACGCCCATCTCCCGAAGCCAGAGTGAGTGTTTTTCATGTTGCGTCTTTTTGTTTATTATATGCGTTACTAGACCGGAAAATGTGGTAATCAATCATCTTGTTCTGCTATTTTGGGTGGCCTTTCATACGTCGTCAGTTTAACCTCGACCCGAGTCTGCATACAGGACAGAACCTTGACATGAATATATGGCGATTTGTAAGATTGATGTAGACTACATGATTTGGCTGTTAGTTACGGGCCAAGGTTTCCAGGCAGACGTAGCATAAATTTAGCAATCGTATTTAGCAGCAAGAAGTGTACAGGGATTCTTGGGGCAAGATGAACAATGTCTTAAAACCACAGATTAAAAAAAAAAACATTTACATATTTGTAAAACGAGCCCTGAACCTCCTCTAATAATTATTCTCTTGATGCGTATTGCAAAATATGTGGAGGTAAATTACATAGAAAGGGGTTGTTTGTTGAAGCTGGTAAAACATATTATTGTTCGATTCAAGCATGGTAATTATGTATGTTTGACATTTATAATTTTCCCGGTTAATCTTGATTTGAATATCAATTACCGTAAAACGCTATAACTCATCGCACTGTTCTAATTCCGCGTATTCGAAACAAAACGAAATATTGGTGTCAATCAAATGCTAAATTGAGTCTAATTCATTACGAGTTCCATTGTTTTAAAATGAGTGCTGCATGCCATTTTGCTTCTGTGGCCTATTGATTATGCTAAAAATGCGCGTAGCAAACAAAACAGTGTTTTCGTTTCAAAAACGTGATTCGTTCTGAAATGTGGTACGCATCCTTTATGGACAGGTGTGTTACAATAGAAAATCAGTGAATTACAATAGAAAATCTCATGCGCGGAATAAGGACACTGATCTTTTTGCTTGAGCCTAATTCCGTGGGTTGCATTTCGTACTTGCCTGAATAATTGTTAAAAGTGCTTTAATCGATATAAAAACGTGTGGGGCTGTTCGTTAACCTCGTATAACGTTTTTGTTTAGATTTTAAACACTGTACACATAAAAATAAATGGTTGAAGTTTAGAAATTTTACAGATTTGTTGCCCTTTGCTTTTCTAAACTTTATGCGTAATTTATGTCCAGTCCTGAAATGTCTTAGAGCAAGAGGGACGTAATAAGCATCCCGCACTCCAGTCCTAAACTTTATTGGTAGTAAGTTCAATATCACCATTGCAATGATTACTGATAAATTAATTTGATTCGGACCATAAGTAATCCAAGGCTTAAAGCACAGGAAGCTCTCTATGCCCCTCTTTCCCCTATTTACTAGTGGTATTACATAATCTCTAGTCTTAATTGACCATGCCATCTTTTTAACTTTTTGAAGAGCATTGAACCTGATTGTGCCATGACGAAATTACGGATGAAGTAAGGGGGAGGTTATTCCGGCTTGTTTTACCACTGAGACAGAGGGTACCTCAGCAATATCTTAAGCAAGGATGTTGAAAATGAATGAAGACGAATTATTTAATGTATGATCGTACTAAATTAATTGTATAGTGGGAGAGGAGGGTATTCAATAATGCTTACATATGAATAATCATTGAAATGTTTTTTTTTTTCCCTGTTCGGGACCTAACACCACTTCGACCAGTAATTTGATCTATTGTAGTATATCCCGTGTCCTCAGTTTAGTGCATGTCGTATTACTCCATCACTATTGAGAAATGATGAAGTATTCGATTTTTTCACAGTTGTCATTCTTGTCTTTATCGCAAGGATCCGACTCTAATTGAAAGGTTCTGATATTTATACCCTTCGGAGTGTTGAAACACCCTCCAAAGGCGCGCCCCTTTGTCAGTCAAAATTGGATTTCTTAGCAACAAAATTAAGGAATGACACCGATAATGACCATGCATCAGAACCTAAGACTAGGGAACTAGGGAACGTAACAACTTCAAACCTAGGGAACAACGAATAGAAGATTAGAAATCACATAGATGAAGGCTAACTAACTCATTTTTTTCCTTGTTTCAAGATCATCCTTGGTGGACAAAGCCGAGTCTTGTCACTATCAACAAGGCATAAAAAGTAACAAGGACTAAGATGTGTTCCTTGGATTACTGAAAAATCCAGGACTAGGAATCGGTGGTAGATCTTATATCACGTAACGTACCACGAAAAGGTGATCTACCCACGCTACGGGGCAATGTTATTCTAGGTGCTGTTTATAAACTACGAACAGTTTTTTGGGATTGGAGACAATTGCCTATGCATTTTTTTTGTATTTGTATGGACGGTAGTCTTCTGACAGCCGAGAACAATTCAGTTTAGAGTATTCGTAATCTGAGCAAAGCATTTGATGCAAGAATATTGAATGTAATTTGAACTATTTCTTCACGGTTCTGGGACGTATTTCAGTTTCAAGGTTTCGTACTCAGGAATATTTTGAAGATTGCGGACTTTATTAATATTTTTAATATTTTAAACACGAAATATTTGCAAGGTTTCGTACCCATTTTTTTTTTTTATAATATTGAATTTAGTTATTTTAATCCCAGACCTAAAACTAAACCAAGGCTGCAGGTCACTTGAAATTTATCGGATCTTGGACTTGGAAACAACTTAACTAAGATCTTGGAATATGGAAACTGGGATTTTCTTCAGGGACAAATATGTTTTCGATCGATTAAAGTAACTCAAAATTTAGTCAATTTCTCGAAATTGCAAAAACTGGGTTTAAATGAGTAAGATTTTCCTCAATGTTCCTCAAAAATCGGCTCGAATATGAGGAAAATCTATGAAAATTGTACTTAGTCTTTGAGTTTTCTCGTAAACTGAGTAAAATTGTTATCGATAATTTTACTCACTCCTTAACATAATTTTTTGCGCTTTTGTGTCGAATTCGACTCATTTTTGAGTTACTCTCATCGGCCGTGCAGATCCCAGTGTTGAAAAAGATATCAACATGTAGGGCCATAGAAAATTGAATAGGAAGGATTTTTCAAGTGAATTTCGATGAAGAGATTTGCTAGGAGCTGTCCATCAATTACGTAGATAGGTTTTGATAGATTTCACCTTCTTTGAGTTGTTTACGTAGTTTATGGATAGCCCCTTCGAAAAGCATTTCAAGATAATAATGATATAAGATGAAGAATTGTGAACAGTTATAAGTAGAATTATATGGTAATTTTGGTTTTGGTTTTTGGTCCAAAGGTAATTCTGAGGAAAACTTCAAAAGAACTCTGTTTTCTGATGATACATTATCTAATAATTCTGATAACATAATAGGGAATTCTGATAATACATAATAGGGAATTCTGAGCTATGAAAATTCTGACAAGAACTACTAAGGAATTACGACATGAATTCCAAGAGATTTGTGATAAACATTCTGAATGTGAAGATAGAGCAGATTCCTAGGAATAGCAGGGCTGGTAGCGGGACACTTTTTAGTGACTTGGTCACTATTTTCAAGTCAGGCACTAAAGTCACTATTCCTTAAAATTTAGTCACTAAAGTCACTTTTTTACGACCAATGTTGAGAGTAAAGTCTGACAAGAAGAGTTGTGAACATATGAAACGTTAATGGTTGACGAAATCTAATATTTTGATTATTTTTTATCTTGAAATTGTCATAAATCTATCATAAATATTCAGAGATTTCGAAAAGGCGGCTATTTTACATTGAGATTTTCATACCAGAAAATCACGGAAAACTTACGTGAATTTCACTTAACCTTCATCAGCATGACATGTGGACTGGATCAGTGAATCTAGTGGAATTCATTACCATGTCATTGAATTTTATGTGTGTCACGTGTACCTTATTGAATTCCTATTTTGAAGATGTTACCTGAATTTTCATGTATAAATTACCTTTTCCGTTGGTTCAATGTATAATGTAAAAAAAAGTCTAAGGAAATATACAAGCTCTCGACATTTATTCAAAGGCCAGAAATTTAAATAATCTTTGACCCCCGGTAGCCTTAATATTTGGCCAAACATCGAGAAAATACATCATGTCACAGATTCTTGAGTTCCTTTTTAAGTCCATTAAATTGTATTGTATTTTTTCCATACTATTTAATATTCCGGTAATACAAAAACCAAAAGTCCATGTCCAGGTCTTAGAAAAAAAAATTAAAAAACTCTAAAATGTATTCCTAATTCTTTAATTTTTCACGATAGAGATTTTAAGTCCTCAACGCATTCAATTTTGTTTTATGCCCGTGATCATTCAATCTGGCAAAATTTTCCTCGTGCCATAATAATGAGATTTTTTCTTCAACTGCGATCTAGAAAAGTTGTCAAGATCCCAGAGTTATTATTCTTTTCCTATGTTTTAGGTGTTACAGAAGATTCTTGAGAGGAATGGAGCAAAGTAAAAAGATGACCAGTTCGTTATAGCAACTACAAAGAAGAGAAGGTTTTTTTATTAATATACTCATGGCTAACTTATGTAGATCTATGTACATTTAATTCTAGACTGCAATTCTTCATGTTGCTTAATGCATCGATTCATATATATCCTAGATCTTCAAAAATTGCTGTCCTAAAATTTAAAAAAAAAAATTATAAAATCGGTACTTTGAACATTTTTCTCTGTGCTTCAATTTCGCGGTCTAAAACAAATTCGTGTTCTGCAGAGTGAGTAAATGGAGGTTACTCTTGCTTATTCAATTCATACTTATTTTTCATGAAAAATCATGGAATAACGGTTGATTGGAACCATTTCTTTCCGATCAATAAATGTCAATATTGGTCACTTTTTTAATGTTTAAAAGTCACTAGTTGGTAACTATTTTCGTAATTTTAGTCACTTAAGTAACTACTATTACATCACATACCCACTACCAGCCCTGGTAGTAGTAGTAGTAGTTCTAAGTAGCACTACATGCTAGTTTTACTAGATTGTGAGTTCAGAAGCATTCTAAGAAGAGATCCAACAGAATTAAACAAAAACCTAAATGGTATTTTCAAGAGAAATTCAAGCAGATTTTGGAACAATACTCGGGGAAATCTGAAGAGATTTGTAATATAATTTTGAGCAAAATTCCAAGGCAATTTTGTGGAGAATCCCATGGTTGTTCTTAATCGCAGACTTAAGCAAAAATATTGAGAATTTAAAAAAAAAAGCCTCTCTATTTAGAACTCACTGGAACGGTTAACTTCATAGTTTGTGTGGTACTCCGGAACAAGAACTAGCTTCTTAATTCACTTCACGGAATCGGATTTACAGAGAAGTAAATAAACACGTCTTACTCTTCCAGATACACAATTTATTCTACTCGAGCTTACGTATCTAAAGTCATAGCCTACTACTAACTTACTGCTATAGATAGCACATCTCCCTTTTTCTAGGATGTATTACAATCAAGATTACAATCAATTAAACTAACAAAGTTTCTTCACTTCTCAAGGACGTTGAGTCCATTTTGTAATGACTTAAATCTTAATACTAGGCATGGGAACTTCACACTCCTCAGCTGTAAATCCTGAAAAATCTTCTTCTAAAGCTTCAGAGTTGTTCAATGTTTCCTGCAGTGATGATGTAACGTCATTTCGTACCTTTTTCAGATGAGCCACGTTCCTTTCGTAAGTTCTTCCGGAATCTTGATCTTCTATTGTAGCTCTGGGTCCCGATCGATTTGTAACAGTGTATTTTGTTCTCTTGAAAGTCGTCGATAGCTTATTCCCTGGAGTGAGATTTTCCATGAGTACTGTATCACCTTGCGCAACGTTTGACTCCTTCGCATGCCGTCTGATGTCTTCTCTTTCTTTCCCTTTTTGTTTGTTTAGAAAACCTAGATCACGATAATCAGAGGTTGGAGGTACGGTTTCAATATCGTCCATAGCTGGTAGCTTGGACCTTATTGTCCTTCCGCAGAATAACTCCGTTGGCGTCTTCCCAGTTGTAGAATGCGGAGTCGTATAGTACATAATCAAGTAATCTTTTAAATCACTCTTTCAGTCTCTGCCGAGCGCGTGACTGATTTGCAACCTCTTCAATAGTGATCTATTTTGGCGCTCAACTAAACCATTCTCCTGTAGCCAGTATGGTGCAGAATGATTGAGAACGATGCCGTGAATTTTGCTGTAATCTTCAATTTCCTTACCAATGAACTGCTTGGCGTTGTCGAGTGTGATAGTTCTCGGATAACCTAAACGGGTAATAATTTTACTTAAGCGTTCAAAGTTTTAATGAGCAGTTATTCGAGTCATAACTTCGACCTCTTTGTACCTACTGAAGTAGTCAATAACTACCAATAAGTATTCGCCAGAAGGAAGAGGACCCATGAAGTCAATGGCAATATCAACCCACGGCTTTGTTGGCAATTGCCTGCGACTCATTGGGACTGGTCGGCTCTGAAGTCCAATTAGTTGACATCCTTCACATACTGCACAACATTCCCTCGTCTCTCGATCCATTGAAGGCCACCATGCACGATCTCGCAATCGTCTTTTCATGACTGATTCACCCGGATGCCCTTCGTGAGCAAGCTGTAACATGCGTTGCCGTAGTTGCTTAGGAACAACAAGTTTATTGCCTCTGATCATGGTGTCCCCAATGAATCCCAACTCATTTCGAAAAGGTTCAAACGATTTTGCTAATACGTTACTCCAGTTGCCAGACCGAAGACATTCTCTTACGGCTGTTATCTCTGGATCATCGCGGGTTGCATCTTCAATTTCATCAACATCAACTGCAACAGATTCCTGGATTGCCAACACCATAAATTTATTATCTTTCTCGAAGTCCTCAGCACCATCAGAATGAACCAATCGAGATAAAGAGTCTGCGATATTTCCGTTTCCTTTTCGATACTTGACCTTGCACATAAAGGATTGTAGTCCCAAGACCCAACGTTCAATGCGAGCGCAGGGTGTGAAAGATGGAGAAAAAATAACTTCAAGTGGCTTATGGTCTGTCTCTTATTCAAATTCACGACCAATCAAGTATAATGAAAATTTCTCAACTGCCCATACCAAAGTAAGTGCCTCTTTTTCCGTTTGGCAGTAGCGCTTACGGGACTAGTTAGGCTCTTACTAGCATAGCATATTATGCGAGGATCATTGTCGGTAATGTCTTTAAATTGAACCAAGACAGCGCCTAATGCAACAGGTAAGGCGTCTGCTACCACCCTAGTACGCAAAGCATTATCAAAGAAAGCGAGAGTATCGGCGTTGGATAGCATTTGTTTCAGCTTTTCAAAACTCCGTTGGTGTTCCTTCGTCCAGGCGAACCTATTGGCACTGCATATCAGTTCCCGTAATGGTGCAGTAATGGTTGCTAAATCTGGGATAAACTTTCCAACGTATGTGACGCGACCTAAAAAACTTCTTACTTCGTCAGAAGAACGAGGTTCACGAAATTTCTGCAGCGCTTGCACCTTTTTCTCCGTTGAGCGTATTCCGTTAGAGGTGATAATATGACCCAAAAACTCGATTTGCCGTACTTTAAACATACATTTATCTTTGTTCAGCAGAATATTACGATCTTTCAAAACTGAAAGAACTATGTTTAAAGCCGCAGTTCAGTCTCCCCGGATACTACAATATCGTCAATATAATTAATGACGTTGTCACAACCAGCAAGTATTTGTTCCATCGTTTATTGAAACATTTCTGGGGCACATGAAATGCCAAACATCAGCCTTTTGTATCTATAAAATCCTTTATGACAAATAAAGGTTGTAATAGTTCGAGATGCTTCATCCAGTTCAATCTGATGAAATGCGTCTTTAACGGTTTTACATTCTTTATATACGATTAAAATTTATCATCATGGAATGATTTCAGAGTTCAGATTTCAGATTGTTGTGTTCAAATCCCGCAAAGGATTATCGGCTTTTTGTAGTTCTCATCTAATAAATTACCCTTACACTCGTGCAGAGACGAACCAGCCAACGGCTGAAAGTCTCTATAATAAAGAAATCAATCAATCAACCCTTATACTCTAACCAAACTCGCCATATCCGCAATTGCAGGCCAGAGACCAAGGAAAACAAGGAGGGCGCCGATACTGAGAAGACAGCCGAGCAGGATAAGAACGAATCGGAGAAGGAACTCGAGAAGGACAACTCCAACGAGAAGACGGAGAAGAAGGAGGAGAAGCCCGAAAAGGCAGCGGTGGAAGAGAACAAAGAGAAAGAGGAAGCTGCCGCCAAATAAGTTGCTCCGTAGAGTAGCTACTTGTTTATAATTATTATGATTACTGCAGAATTTTTTAGTTCTTTCACTATTGGCTAATTCTGTTCGGTTTTCGATTATTTTTTTTACGATAGTTGACAACTTGATTTTTTTTTTCATATTTGGTAAACATACTAGTAAGGGAAACGCAAAACGATAGTGAACTCGCGCGAAAGATTCGCGCGAGCGGTGGCAAACGAGAAAGTTTAGGTAGAAAGCATTTTTCGTGCGATTGTTAGTAGTTTTTCTTCTACTATCGGTTTTCTTGTCCTGAGTACGAAACGAGTAAGAAAGAAAAGGAATAGGTAAAGACGAAGATAATTACTATTGTTTAACTTATTTTTCAAATATGATACTTGTGTTTGCATTGTAAGCAAAGAATTAGAAAAGTCAAGTTACATCACAACTAGATCAGTTGATGATTCACACGTGTGCAATTTTGTACAAACACCGTGGAGAACAGTTTGCTCTTTCCAACGACAGAGAAGGAAACATCCGGCAATGAAGAACGGAGAGACAAGAATGGAATGAGATGCATGTAGTGTTTTTTTTTATTAGAAGAAAATTTACTAGCAGCAAAACAGATTAGTGGAATGAGAGAAAAAAAAATAGTAGAAGGTCATGACAATGTGTAATGTTCACTGCTTAAGCTATTCTTACGTTTATAATTTCAGATTTATTTTAGTATCTAAGATAAGGTAATATTTACGACGATTACTACAAAAATACTCAAAACATCCAATACTATGCGACCGTTCGCCGTTGGTCGTCGTGCTGAAGCGTGCCTGCGTTTTCGCCAGCGGTTTCACGTCAAAGGCATGCGACCAGTTCGAAATCATATGAAACCTGCGTTTTTTGCACCCCTGGTAAAGATAAAAAAAAAACTTTTTGTTTGTAGTAATACAACCTAAAGCAAAATGTAATAATGGTTATTATTACTATTATATATTTTATATATTATATTTTCGTATATATTTATAGTATTTTATATCAATTTTATGTATAGTAAAGTCTCTCTTTCTCTTTATGTTAGTTTAAGGTCAATGCAAAGAAAAAGAAGAAGAATTGATGGTCGTTTTTTCCAAATTTGTGTTTTGTACAAAATTTTGCGAGGTGAAGACATTTTCCCATTTCTTCCCAGGACGTTTTTATTCTTCAGATTGAAGCTAAAGAGTAAAAACCAGGCTGCGGGAAAATTTCCTTCAAAAAAAAACGTTTCGTTTTTTGGATCTATACGTGTACGGTTAGCGATATTCTAGAAGAAAGAGAAAGTACGAAAACGGTTGCAATTTTACAACACCTAGAAAACGTAAACGATAAATATCTCAAAACATTCTAATCAATAGGTTTTTTTTTCTGAAATAGTTTAGCCCATATTTTGTTCTTCAGATTCCCTTCTGCATGTGTATGCATCGTTCTTCATCATATTCCTTCTCTTTCCCGTTCACGAATCGTACAATAGTTTGAAAATGCTGCTGTCTAAGTTTGTTCCTTGAACTTGAAAACAGAAATTACATGACAAACGATAAAACATTTCCTAGTACATAAGTCGACTCCGCGCGGTTTTCCATACAATCAATGAACTTCATTACACACTCAAATACGCCACAAACACTGATAAAAGAAAATAGATCAAGCAGAAAATTTCGTTTATCTAGGATTAAACTCTGATGAATAAAGAATAAAACAGTGATAATTAAAAAAACAAACGAACCAAACGTGCACAATTGCAACTACGGAGAAAACTTCCAATGCTTCCAATTTTGGGCTCACGAATTCCGTGAACGGTGTCACAAAGGATGAACAAACTCAATCCGTTTCAATCACTGCCAATCCCTTAATGACTTTTCGAGGGTTTTCCATAACTTTCTGCTGTTCTGTTCGATTAGTTTTGTTTGTTGAAAAATGGGTAAGTTTTCTTTATTGTGTTTTATTCTATTCTTATTTTTTATCATTTAATTTTTCTTTCAGTTTTCAGCAGCCCCAAAGAGGGAAGAACTAACAAATAAGAAGATCTTTATCGAAAAGAACTGAGTTTAGGTTTTCTTTTATGAATAACTTATGATTTCAGCATGAACGAATCGAATTGAATTTGAGGTTAGGAATGGTAGGCGATGCCAAAAACTAGATCACCCGGCAATTTTCACAGTCTACTATGTATAATGCAATGTCTACTAGATTGTTTACGCTTGTTACGAAGCTTGGTTTCTTATTTCGTGATGTACAAATAAATTCCGAGAACGATTTTGTTAGGTACATTATACAAAACATTTCCAAAGGATAATTCTGTAAACTGTTCTGATTTTAAGGCTCATACGTACTTTGAAGGAACATTTTTGAAAAACAAAATAAAAAAACAACACTGAGTAGTGAAACAGTACATTTTTAAATGAAACCAAAGTAGACAACTAAAACAAAAACAAAAAACTGTTAGGGAATTAAACGAAATTATCCTACCGAATTCCAATACAACGTGTTAATACAGTTATACATAAAACAGAAACGAATCAAAAGAGCGACGGAACAAACACAACCATAACACGCTAATACACATTGAAACTAGAGAAAACAAGAAGAAACCCGACAACAAACGAAATAAGAAACACTAAAGTAAAGAAAATGTCACGCGCTCAAAATTTTTACAAAAATTTTAAAAGTCGCTCCAAGCGGCTGTTGCCATTTTTTGTATCAGCTCTACTGTATGTGAGAGATAACGAAAAAAGAAAACAAATTCATTCATCGTTTTATCACTCATAGCAAAACAGAGGAAACTAGATTAAAATTTACACACACATCTGTATGTTTGAAATAGTAAACTCATTCAAAACAAACCCAAACAACTATAATCAAAACAAAACAGAAAACCATCCCAAGCAAAAACCCGATCGAATAAACTCAGACACGAAAAATTCTCACTGGGAGTATATGGAAATTAACAAAAAGAAAAAAGGTAAATACATTATTATTAATAATAAGTAGGTAATAAAATAATCATTACAGTAAGTTGATCAAAAAAAAAACCATACAAAATTCATAAACCTAAGAGTGTGACTGCGACCCGGTGCGCTGCGAATTGAACCGAAAGTCGCTCCATCATCTCGACTCGCACCGCGGAAGCAAAATTTCCAAATCTAGCACAAAGATCAAAAAAATGGGAAACAACTTGGAAAAAAGAAACGCATAGCTAGAAACACGCTCACTTTGTTTTAAACAACAAAACTTCGTTACAAGTAGTTAAGCCAAAAACAACAAGCAACAAATCCTTCATTGTCATGCGTATTAGGGTCTCCATTGAAGTGCAAGTAAAATGCCCCCCATTTTTTCTCTCATTTTTTGAATTCGTATTCAAACCGACAAAAGATTGATAGCTTGAATGATATTGAGGCAGCCGGCGGCGAGAACTCTCGGATGCTCTGAATTTAGAGAACGCTGTATGATTGAAAAATGAATTACCTATTAGGAATATTCCTCCCACACACACACCTACAGAAACACTAATAAGAAAAATTGCATATGGGCTTTGTAAACAGTACGTTTAAATTTTCCGCAGACTTTTCGTTTCCTAAATAAGAAACAGAAACCAGTAAATGGTACTAGATTAAGTGTGAGCTTGGAATATTGAAATATTGAAGAAAAACAAAACCAGAACACAAAAAGATAATGAAATATTATGTAATGAACAAACCACAAAAATGTATGTAATCTGTATTACATTGAATATTGTCAATAAAAGTATATAATAAAATGTGTTGGTTTGATTGAGAACGTGAAAATATCACGGTATTCATCAGCTTAAAATGAGCATTCGTACATTGCCATCGTTTTACTTTGGGCAGATGTATCAACACAATTATCCACGGCCCATATAAATTTTGAAAAAAAATTGTATTGTCTACGCAGGGGGAGGGGGGGTCAAGAATCCAAAAAAAAAACGTCTACGTAGTTAATGAACAGCCCCTTTCATGTTCTAAAAGTCATTTTTGCTCATTTGAAGAACTATAAGTTAAAATAAGTTAATGCATTATTCACATTTCAACAGGATCAATTTGTTTTGAAATCAGTTAAGCCTATTTTCATACGAAAACTATTTAGTGGGACTTGTGTGGGTGCAAAGAGTGCCCAATGCTTCTCAGTGCACTGTGCTGAACATTCAGCACTATCGCAAAGACTCGTAGTCATGTTGAGCGTTGTGAGGACAACGAACTGGACATTGCATTCTCGTCACTCTCAATCACCAACCACCGTGGAGGTGCGGCAATATCGGGCAGATTCCTTTCCGGCTGATGGTCAGTTATTCACAGGACTGTTATGCCGAGAAATTTGCGATAAAGTAGGAAATTCTACGCATGTCATTCCCACTAGGAACTATTACCCTATTACTTTCCGTGTTCCTTTGATGGCCACGTTGCTTTTGACGTCTTTACTCTTGTGATTGTGGTTGTGTTTACATGAGCGTGCTTGCGTTCTCCACGAAGTTTTGAAAGTTCCTGGATAGTTTGCATAGGTTTTGCATCATTAACTGAAATTATCAATAAAGGGTGATACGGTCAAAATTTGGTCAAGGGAAAACGCGTGTAAATCGGTGAAATCGTTTATTTAAAAAATCAAATTAAATTTCTTTTTCAAGTTCAATTAGTATAAAATTCAGGAAAAATATTCAGTTAGGCTTCCGCTTTTCCAAATCCGAATTGCCGGGCCTTACGCTTGACCCCTGCCATCAGATTTTGTACAGCCACCTTGTCCACCTTCTTCGCCGCAGAAAGCCAGTTTGCCATGAACTGCTGCTCGCCCTTAGCAGTTTTTTTGGTCTTGTTTAGGTTCCGCTTGACAATAGCCCAGTATTTCTCAATTGGGCGGAGCTCTGGCGTGTTGGGAGGGTTCTTGTCCTTGGGAACCACCTGCACGTTGTTGGCGGCGTACCACTCCATGGCCTTTTTACCGTAATGGCAAGATGCCAAATCCAGCCAAAACAGTACGGAACAACCGTGTTTCTTCAGGAAAGGCAGCAGACGTTTATTCAAACACTCTTTCACGTAAATTTCTTGGTTGACAGTCCCGGAAGCTATGAAAATGCTGCTTTTCAAGCCACAGGTACAGATGGCTTGCCAAACCAGATATTTCTTTGCGAACTTTGACAGTTTCATGTGCTTGAAAACATCTGCTACCTTTCCCCTTCCTTTTGCCGTATAAAACTCCTGTCCCGGAAGCTGCTTGTAGTTGGCTTTGACGTGTACAGCCTCCGGGATCGCGCTTTGGCCGTCGTATTTTGTTTATCATCGCGATTTGGAGTTACTACCTTCTTGTAAGTCGATAGTCCGGCTCGTTTTTTGGCTCGATGCACGGTTGTAGACGATACACCCAGCTTATTTGCGGCATCTCGGAGAGAGAGGTTAGGGTTTCGCTTGAAACTACCGGCAACTCTCTTTGTCGTCTCAGCGGCTTCCGGTTTTCGATTTCCCCCCGATCTAGACTTCCTGGCTGTCGACAAACGTTCCCCAAACACTTTAATTACATTTGTAACGGTTGATTTGGCAACTTTTAGCGATTTTGCCAACTTTGCGTGCGAGTAGCTCGGATTTTCGCGATGCGCGAGCAAAATTTTGATACGCTGCTCTTCTTGCTTGGACGGCATTTTGACAACTGAAGAGTGAATTCCAAAATCAAAATAGGAGCAACATTCTACACACACACACCTTCAAAATGAGGGGTGTTCAGGTTTTTTAAATGCAAAATTGAAAGAAATACGTCAAGTTGATATTGACCAAATTTTGACCGTATCACCCTTTAAGTGCGTTGGAATTGCTGCTATCGTCGTTTGCTACATCTATAAACCTTTAAAGTATGAGCATCTCGAGAAACTAACGATGAATGCTCTGTACAGAACAAAAGCTTCTTAGCATCTTGTTCTACTACTTAGCAAGATGAGTGCAAGAGAAAATTTTCATTACGTCGAATGTAACAAAGGAAAACAAAGTCGAGCTATCAGTGTCAATCGATGCTCCTGCTATTACACTATATACTGTCCGAATATAGGATCACATCCCATTTTTAAATTTATTTACCAGTCGAATTGCTTTTTGACGTAATCACCTTCCGATCAAAATAGTTTTCGATGTTACTTAAGTCACCGATTTCTATGGAGATGCCGTTTGCCTTAAGTAACAGCACTGAGAAACCCGTGAAAAGTGTACTTTCGTCGTTTCGCTTTCTCATTATTAAAGTGAATAAATCGAACTGTTTGTTGCTAAGATGATTTCGGTGGTCCTAAAATGATGAATGGGCTGCACGTAAGTAGACGTAATTGATAATTCTCCCGAATATCCTGGTAAATACACTTTGACTTAAGTAACAATAGGGGCCCCAAACGACGTATAATAACTTTTGACTCAAAAACCAGTATTTCTTAGCATGAAAGCTAGCGATTTGCCTTTGTATGATTAAAACCCCGGCTAAATATGTTAAACATTGCTATCACTATGAGATTATATGTGTTTAATTGGAAATAGGAATAACTTTTCGGTCATCAAAACAAAACTTTATTTTTCTCGGATCGGTGCGAATGTTACTTACGACATAATGAAAATTTGCTCTTGAGTGTAGGTCTGAAAGGGATTCTTCTTTTTTTCTTTCCTTTATTTAACGTCGGTCTCTGTTCCGCAATCTAGTGCCAATCACCGACGGACATCGATTGCCATCCATTGACGGCAATCGAATGTGCAGGAAGGCAGCTTCCACACCTGCGTAG